GTGGCAGGTTGAGAAGGGCCTCGCTGGCCTTAAGATGGACCTCGATCGTGCTGAGGGTGAAGTCGCTGCACTCCGTGGACTGTTGAAGGAGAAAGACATCCTCATTCCCCCGTCGATGGCCCGCGGCAGCACCTATGAGTCTGCATCTGTTCCTGTGACTTCGGAATCCTTGGAGGCTGCCTTCCAAGACCTCCAGCTTGCCTACAAAGACTCCCTACTCAGGATCAAGGATCTGGAGAGCAGCGGCTCTATGGTTGTCGGGGACGAAGCTACGAGACTGGCTCTCGAGAGGCTGGAGCAGTCTCTGACTTCTGCCGTCTTCGAGCGCGACGCGGCGAAGGAGGAAGCCTCGGCTTACAAAGACCAACTGGAGAGCTTGGCGGGCAGCGAGGTGGCACATCTCGAGAGCGAGCGCGCTCTTTCTGATGAGCTCCGTACGTCTGCTCAGCGCGTTGAGGAACTCGCCTCCCAAGTTCAGAACCAGTTGTCTGTGAACTCTGAGCTCCGTCAACGCCTCGCGGAAGCCGTCGCTCGTGGCGATGCCGACCGCAAGGCCAACGCCGACCGCATCACACGTCTGCAAAGCCGCCTCAAGAACCTGGAGGAGCAACTGCAGGCTGCTCAGATCTCATCCGAGGAGCGCGTGGCTCGGCACGAAGAGCAACTGAAGGAGCTGAAGGACGCACAAAGTGTTCAACTGCGCCGCATGAGCCCTTCTCCCGGTGCCAACGGCATGCGCTCTCCTCGCAAGGCGAGTCTCAGCCCGATGCCATCGCCAATGTTCCCTCGGTCGCCCCGTCTCATGCCGAAGCAGTCCGTCGAAGATGAGACGCAGATAGAGAGGCTGCGGGTCAAGGTCGTTGAGCTGGAGACAGCGCTTACGGTTGCCGACTCAGAGATGCAAGATGTCATTGCCCGCATGAGTACTGCTCAGATCGAGGTTTTGACGCTGCAGGAGGAGCGTGAAGCCGCGCGACGTGAGACTAGACGTATCCAGCAAGAGTTGGAGAAGGAAAGGATGAAGGCGTTCGAGGACCGATTCAAGACGCTCGGCAGCTCAGTTCAATGATATAATCGGGCGACTCAGCTCGGATAGGGGTTGGTGCCACGGCATAACATGGCGTCCTATACCCGTCATCAGTATGCGGCGCGCCTCGTTTCAGGATGAGCACCTGGGCCAGGACACTCCCTCGACACCTCTCCAGTTTTCACACCGCACGCACTCGAAAATGGTACATAGGCCACCAACACAGTGGCCGCATTGCCTCCTGCGATAAAGGAGCAAACTATGCATTGGGATAGCGAAGTGCGCATCGATCATTTGTATCGACGTTTTTGTTGAATTTTTTTGTTTTGGGCGGGTATCGGAGCAATACCATCTATGGGATGAGGCAGTGTGCCATAATTCCCCACAGAATGGACTCCCTCTTTTTTGGAGGTGCTACACAGAGCACCGTTGACGGCCGAAAGCTACAGCACATGATATATGTCTTGCGTGTCTGCAGACATTTCCATATACCTCTATTATATATACTTAGTGGGCGGTTCAAGCACGAAAGTGTTTGTGTAATGTGTTTATCTAGTTTATATTTTCTCCTTTGCCCTGTTTGCTCTTGGGATGTCCTCTTGCAAGGTTTCTTTGGGTCACTTGGCATGAGGCTAGAATTGTACAAACCAGAAACGGAATAATCGAAGGGGGGTAGCTGAAAGAGGAGGAATCAGTGGAGGAAGAAGAAGAAACCAAAAGCAAAGAAGGTTCGATGCTGGCAAGCGTCAAGGGTCGTGAGGATGCCTGTGTATGATAGAGAAGAATTGACGACTTGAATCGTACAGACTTGATCCGGCTTTATGAGACTTGTATGCAACGCACTCTGTTGAAACCATCGTGAATGACATGAGTTGGCCCTTCGTTAGTGGCTGTTCTTAATGTGGTAAATAGCGAGAGCGAAGTTGGTTCCTTTGGTGGTGCATTGAGGTAATCCCGACGAGCTGGAGAGGATTGCCACACCAAACGGGCGGGCCGCGAGAATCAACGTCAGATCGTCAAATCGGGCACCCCGGGACAGGGAGACCCCGGGGGTTATTGCATGAGACCAGCCAACCACTCAACTTGTATTTCCTTTGCTTCCTATTTTCCTTTTTTTTTTCTTTCTGTGTGTAAATAAAAGCTGGTGAGTGACTTAATCCAGTTACAATCCAGTCACGTTTTTAAAGATCTAATGGGTGATGTGCTGCGCTTCTTTTTGAGTAGGGAAAGAATAGGGATATCAAATGTCTCGTTTTCTGTTCGTTTCATCTTTTTGGGCAGCTTCAACCTCGTAACCAGTCTGCTCTAGCTTTTACGAAATCCGCTGTAATTTTGGTCCGAGCAATGGGGCAAATAATCCAATCATCAGCTGTCCTATCGTGAACAGCGCATCATTGCTCCTTTGACAGATAGGTGACTAGCCTACAGTCCACCATACTGCTTCACGATGCCCGCAACCTTGTTGGCGAGCTCATCAGCCTCAGAGCGGGTGGCTGCTTCAGCGTATACACGGCAGGCGTTCTCGGTACCACTGGCGCGAGCGAAGGAACGAGCGCTGGTGTACTTTCTAACACACTGATCAATCTCATCCTGAGCTCCCGCAGGATGGCTGAGGCGACGCTCGGCGTCCGTGGTCTGGAAAGCATCTTTGTTGCCAACCTCGACACGGACCAGGCGGTTGGGAAGATCTGAGTAGGTCGAGGCCCAGTCCTTGAGAGTCCAGCCCTTGTGAGCGAGAATCACCTCCACCATCAACATATCTGAGAGCGCATCACCAACGGTCTGGTTGATGAGGTTGCCGACGGCGGCGAGAGTCTCGAGGGCATCCTTCTGTGCGGGGGACTGGGGCTTTGTCTCGCTGAAGGCACGCATAGCATCTTGGCTGAAGATGACAGTGCCGTGGCCGTTGGCCTCGAAGTAGGGACCAATGTCGAATTTGAGAGCAGCATGGTGCAAGTGCTTGACGCCGGTGGGCGTGCAAACGACGGGCAATCCGAGATGCTTCTCAATGTAGTTGGTGCTAGCACCGTTGGCATAAGCGGTCTGGACGACGCCGATGCGCAAGTCCTTCTCAAGGCCAGCAGATCGAACGAGATCGCCAATGAAGGAGGCAGCTAAGGTGGATATCCGGTCGCCGTCGAGCATGAAGAAACCGGTATCTGGGTCGGTGTAGTAGTAGATCAGGCGGTCGGCGTCACCATCGAAGGAGCAGTAGCGAGCGCCCGGTATGGGCTTGGGAGAAGCAGGGGCACGCTGCTTGGTCTTGACGAAGTCTGCACCACACTGCACAAGTTAGTTAAGGGGTATAGTGGTAGAGGGGCGATACGACTTACGTCGAGATTAAGGACCTCAGGGCGAAGAACATCGTCGTTGACAACCTTGACGTCGAAGCCAGTGACATCCTTGGGGACGTGCTTCAGGAACTCGGTCAACTTGGGGCCACCAACGCCGTTGGAGCAGTCGATGGTCAACTGTCCGTCAACCTTGCGACCCTTCAAAGCCTTGACAAAGGCGTCGGCAAACTTCTCGTAGTATCCAGTCTCGCTAACCTTTCCATACGACTGCGGCGTACCCTCGGTGTTGACGCATCGGGTGAGGTAGTGGAGCTGGGGAGTGGTGAGGATCTTGTAGTCGGTGTACTCAACGCCGGTGGCCTCGAAGGAATCGGCCAGGGCAGCGACAAGCTTGTGGCCCGAAGGGCGGGTGTCTCGACCGTAAACGACGCGGGCAGGGTCGGACAGGTTGATGCGGAGCTGGGAGGCCAAGGCCTTGTAGTTGTCGACAAGCTCCTGGTCTGAGGAGCTGTTGACAAGTTTAGTAGCGTATGACTCCCACTCCTGCTCAAGCATGTCTCCCATGGGGTCAACAATCTTGACGCCATTATCGGCAGCGGGATTGTGGCTAGCCGTGATCATGACACCAATGGCCTGGCCATTGAGCTTGCGACTACGCAAGCCGGAGAGCAGACCGACACGAAAAGTGACACCGTCAAGGAGATCAGCCTTCATTCGGAACCCCGCAGTGCCATACTTGAAGGTGTGGTTCGGCACGATGGGGTGCTTTTGCGAAGCGGCGATGATCTTCTCGTCCGACATGACGGGCTGTGGACTCAAGCAAATGGCTATGGGTGATCGAGGCAATGTCAAAAAGGGATTTGACGTGTTGGAAGAGCGATGGCCGGGGTGGAAAAAGGAGAGAATTAAAGAGGCAACGTAGTCGGTAATGGAGCTGGGGATGTTTACGAGGAAACAGTGGAGAGAAATGGAGGGCGGCAGTTTGCCAGTTGCCTACCTTACCAGAAAGTGCTTGCTGACCTGGAAACTGGATGCGGTGGCCGCCATTCCAGTGTGCTGTTTCCTCCACCCAACTGTTACCTACGTCCCTGCCAGGCTCACCTCAGCTCCCCGCCATTTACCTCATGCGAGAACAGCGGCGACCTCAACAGGCAGGCCCCGCCGTAGCCCATTGCCCGTGATGCAATCATGCAAGTCAGACTGGGCGCTGGATGGATGCAGCCTACCACAACAGGAAGGAGTGGGGTCGCAGCCCGGATTGCCCCTCCTCAACGTCCATGAGGGGCACTACATAGTACTTACTTTTGTGACGGACCACCTTAACTGCCGCTCAAGACATCCTGGCGACTTCTATTCATCAACATGGATATTGTCAAGTCGACTCTTTAAAAGGATCTAAAGCTTTGCATACTATTCCCGACGAAACAAGGTTCAGTCCAAAGTTTTTGAAATATTCAATTGAAGCTGTGGTAGTGCTGAAGCAATCGGTGGGTTATTGTGTCACTCACTTGGTCATTCAGGAGGTGATTGGCACCCTCAGCGCTCAGAACACACTATGGTCCTGGCACAGGATTCGGATGTACTTTGTATCAGTACCTAGTGCCTCTTGTCACGTGGATTCGTGATGACCACTCTACGCCAAGTGCCGCTGCTTGGCGTGTCTGCGCGTCGCGACTCCAAGTTTCCTTCCTCCCCCACCCTCTCCTTCGCCTCTTTCCAGCCGGCGAGGCACGCTCGGCATCCAAGTCGACAACTGCATTTTGGGGCGTCGTTTTTCTTCTTTTGGAAATCGAATTTCTTAGCCTGGCTGCATATTTGCCGGCAGAGATGCTCTCTTTGGCGTTCAGCTCTGGGCAATGATCTTTGAAGTACGGATACCCCAAGGAAACTCTAACATCACAGCAGCACTATGGCTGGCGAACACGAGCAATACGCCAATCCTCTGCTCCTTGACTGGGTCAAGGAGTGGCTGGATACTGCTAGAGAACGAAACATGAAGAGCACCTCCACCTATCGAAATGCCTATGAGTCTCTCAAGGCATGCCCCATCACCTTCAAGCATCCACGCCAGCTCACTCAGCTCAAGGGCTTCGGAGACAAGCTCTCTTCACGTCTGACTGATAAGCTAAAGGAGCATTGCGAGTCAAACGGCCTGCCAATGCCTAAGAATCCACGGCTATTCAAGGAAGACCGCACATCCGTCGGCGGCGCTGCTGAAGATCAAGACGCCCCTCCACCCAAGAAAGCACGCAAAATAAAGCCTTACGTTCCAACATATCGCTCTGGCGCCTACGCTCTCTTACTATCACTCTCCACACTGGATAATGGTGTACAATTTGGAATAACCAAAGCCAGCCTCATAGAGTTGGCCCAGGAACACTGCGACGCATCCTTCTCTGCACCCAGTGACCCTGGCAAGTACTACACGGCATGGAACTCGATGAAGACGCTTATCGAAAAGGATCTTGTTTGCGAGAAAGGCCGCCCACAGAGACGGTACTCTCTTACCGATGAGGGATGGGAAGTTGCTGAACGCATCAAAAAGACCGCAGAAGCAAGCGGCGCAGCCGACTATGCTATCGCAGGCCCCAGTACGCGTGCCGGACCTGCCAGTGGGGTTGATCTGACCCCCATACCGTTGGACAGAGAAGCTTCGCCATCTGTCGAGCCAGCCGAACGGCCGAGAACGATATCAGAATACGAAGGCGTTGTCGCGAATGGACCAATGGTCTCGGACGAGGCATCGTTACCAAACTTCGTCCCGATTCGGCTGGCACCCGGTTCTTTTACTGTTCATCTCGCCCTTGACATCCGCGAAGTTCGAGCAGTCAAAGATCGCGACTACATGCAAGACGAGCTCACCAAAAAGGGCGTAAAACCCATAATGCGAGCTCTGGACGTCGGTGATGCACAATGGATCGCCAAATGCCACGATCCCAACGCCCTATCCCGCTACGGCGCAGAGGGAGATGAGGTTGTACTGGATTGGATTATTGAGCGCAAGCGACTAGACGACCTTGTTAGCAGTATCAAGGATGGCCGTTTTCACGAGCAGAAATTTCGACTTCGCAAATCTGGAGTCAAACACGTTGTCTACATAGTCGAGGAAATTGCCTTGGATTCGGCGTATTTCTCCAAGATTGAGGAAATGGTTCAATCCGCCACCGCGTCTACGCAAGTAGTTAATGGCTACTTTTTGAAGAAGACCCAGAAGATGGACGATACGATCCGGTACCTTGCGCGGATGACGTTCATGCTCAAGAAGATGTACGAATGCAAGTCGCTTTTGGTCATCCCGACACCGGTCTTGACAGCACAGAACTACTTGCCGTTGCTAGAACACCTTCGGGTGAAAGAGCCTACGACGAATTACTACATCACATACGCGGCATTTGCGTCATTGGCGTCCAAGTCGGACATGATGACCTTACGAGATGTTTACCTCAAAATGCTCATGACGACTAGGGGCATTACGGGAGAGAAGGCTTTGGAGATTCAGAAGCGGTGGAAGACACCGCATGATTTTATCAAGGCGTTTCAGGAGTGCGGCTCAGGCGAGCAAGGGCTAAAGAGGAAACGGGAGATGGTTATCAGCGGTCTGCCCAATTTGGTAGGGCGCAAGAAAATTGCCAAGGCCGTTAGTCAACGGCTAGCCGAGGTCTGGGGCGATGCTTGATGATGCTTAGAATACCCCTATTGTGATAATACAGGAAACAATCTATAGACTCACTCACCTATCTGGGTTCACACTCACCACCCACCCTTTATAATAACACGAAAGAGATTTCTTTTTCACCAAGGCCTATGACGTGGCGGGGAATGTCCTCGTTTGAATTGCCCCGCACCCATAGGTCTCGAGTTCGAGTCTCGTGAAAATCCTAGCATCGCTACACCCGAGGCTGGTCAGAGTCCCCTGGGAATTCGTAGGCCCCCCGTGAGGGAGGCTGAGCTTTTGTGATCTTATATCAGTTCATTTTTATTTTTCTTCGTCATTGATCCTGAATATAGTCACTCGATTGGTTCCGATTGACGGATTGTTTGTCCCTTGCATCGTCGCTGGTTAGGACGCGGGGGTATCACGCACCGGTTCCCCAGCCATATATGTCGCATGGCGGCTTGTATGAATGAACGCATTTTAAACCCACTTATTGAATGAAGTAGCTGTATGAAAGAAGCTCGTTTAATAACTAGGAATGACGTTTTCTTTTCGGCACATATACTCTCTGCTCAAGACCTGCCACCAAGTCCCTGAGCTACGATACGCTCAACCATTCTTTCCAACGGAGCGCTGCCGGCACCACCGAGGTAACCCGCAAGACTCTTCTCGGCATACTTTGCCATCATGTCCACCTCAATGTTGACAGTGTCACCGGGCTTCTTGCTCGCGACAACGACCTTTTCCTGCGTGTAGCTGATCAGCATGACCTCCCACCAGCCCTCCTCATCATTGACCTGCGTCACGGTCAAGCTCGTGCCGTCGAGCGCGACGTAGCCCTTGTAGATGATGTAGCGCAGGACAGCCTTGTCGCGCGGCGCGAAGCGGAAGGTGAGGGCGTTGCCGTCCGGGGTGACGGCCAGGATGGTGGCCGTGGTGTCGACGTGGCCCTGGACGAAGTGCCCGCCCATGCGGGTGTCGGCGCGGACGGCGCGCTCGAGGTTGGCGCGCGAATCCTTGACCAGGGAGCCGAGGTTGGTGATGCGCAGGGTCTCGGGGGCGACACCGACCTTGAAGGAGGGGGGGCCGGAGGGTTCGAAGGATGTGACGGTGAGGCAGACGCCGTTGATGGCGATTGAGTCGCCGAGGTGGCAGTCTGAGAGGAGGGTGGAGGACTCTGGCAGAGTGATTGTGAGGGAGGTGCCTCCTGTCTCGTCGTTGGGGTTGAGCTCGGAGACGACTGAGGGTGGGATGTTAGTTGAGGGCATTGCAAGTTTGATGTGTGGTGAGGGGTGAGTCAAGGGTGAGATATGGGGGGTCCGGACCTCCGATTTCTTCGACGATGCCGGTGAACATGGTTGCGTTTTTGGATTTGTTCAGTCCAGTGACGATAGTCTGATACCTGATGAGTCTTGAGTTATCAAGTTACGTGAATGAGAAGTAGTGGTGATGAATTGGATGAGTGAGTTGAGCTAAGATGAGAAGTCATTGAAAGCTCTCGGAAGCTATGGACGTCTAATCAGAGTGACCCCTCCAAGCACCATACCCTCCCCCACTTTCTATAACGGGCGATGCCGCTATCCACTCAGAGACACTGGCTTGATTACATATGCCAGCGCCCAATGCAATCCTCGTGATTTCCGGTGTTCCAACTCATCTATCGCGCGTTCCTTCGTCCGATCAGCGGAACATCCAAGTCTCTTTACTATCGGGTCATTCCGTTAGCTCAAATCAATTAAGTTCTTCTACGGCGGTCGCCGCTAAGTGATTCGTGTGCTTAGGAGGCACGTAGCACGTGTTACTAAGCATGCATGGCGACCGTTAGTCGTGCTCAAAGAAAACATAGCCAAGTGGGACTCTTTACAATTCGATACGACCCACGCAGTTCTTTCGATGTGGGGACGAGGTAAACATATAAGCATCATCACATCAATGGGGGACATGAAACTTTGCGGGCGTTTTTTGTTGGCTCTTGCGGCTGATGTCGGAAGTCGGAAGTTCCGAGGGGGATCCCAGTCCTTCAGCTTTCGGGACGCGTGAGCTTATCGCGCGTTCAGTCGAAGTGTTCGCCTGTTGTTCTCCTTGGCAAGAGCTTACGAGCTGGCAGTTGAAAGAACTCAATGTGGTTACACAACTTGACCATAGGTCCTCGACGTTCTACTAGTAACCAACGTCTTGTCGTTGTTGAATATGCTTAGCAAGTCCCTTTACATGGGTTGTACTGATATACCAATGGCTTCATCGTTTACAAGGCTCAGCCACGGCGACTTATACTTATACACTTGTCATCGCAAAAACAACATGAGATTCATGAAACTCGTGGCTAGCTTTCACGAGGCTGGAATTCGTACGCACTACACAGCCGTCTTTATTCACCTCCTCAGTGTAAAGGAAACCAAGCAAGTCGGGTCATATACTTCGTTGCCCGTGCTCAATTGTCAGCCACCAACATGATTTGAGACGACCAGCACCTTCAACTTGCCTAGCGCCTGGCTCTCTCTTAGCCGAGTCGACCGACTTGGAGATGGATGAGCCTTGTCTGATCTTGGACCCTGAGTGGTACGGACAACAAATCCGTGGCATCCACGGCGTTTTACTCGACAGTCCGTGTCCCAGGTGACAAATAAGCTTTCTTACCTAGCATGTTTGGGGGACCACCCAGCATTGCCCATGCTTATAGGCTCTGAGACGATGCCATTTCGTGATCAGTGAGGAAACTAGACACTCCTTCAAACAGCTGGATGGAACGTTAAAGGCACGTGGGTATGGCTCTTTACCGATAGCGAGGGAACAACTCGTATGTATACGCAGGCTTCGTTCGTTTGGTTGATCTGGGTCGATCTGGATCGATACTATCCGCTCGTTCACACTGTTTGTTCCAACAGTAGCCACCAACGTAGATCTGTCCGCTAGACGCGGCAGCGAAACATCATGACTATGCGGGCTACTCTCGTTTGCGCTGCCGCTTTCTTTTCATCTCTGATCTCTGGGCAGTTCGTTGCGCAGCCTACGGATCTCAAGACGGTCAAGGGGGCCGGAGGCGTTAATGTCCGATTTAAAGAGGTGCCGAACGGCATCTGCGAGACGAACCCCAACGTGAAGAGCTTCGCCGGCTACGTGGACGTCAGTCCGACCCAGCACATGTACTTTTACATGTTTGAAGCACGACAGAATGCCGCCACGGCCCCCTTGACCGTCAGACTCGACGGCGGGCCAGGAGCGTCCTCCATGAACGGTCTCTTCACCGAGATCGGCCCCTGCTCTATCGACGCCAAGGGCAAAGTGGTGGACAACCCAAACTCGTGGTCGACGGTGAGCAACCTGCTCTTCGTCGACCAGCCCGCGACCGTCGGCTTCTCCTTCACCAACCTGGTCAACGGCACCGTCAACCCAAAGACGGCCGAGATCGTGCCCCAGCAGTGCACATCTGCGGACCCCATGTGCGGGACCTACTCCTCCATGGACGTCTCTCTGACGCCCAACTCAACGGCCGACGCCGCGAAAGTCTTTTACCAGGTGATGCAGGGGATCATGGGCGCCTTCCCGCAATACACGGCCAACGGCGTACACATCAACGGTCAGTCGTACGGCGGTCACTACGTGCCCGTCTTCGCCGACTTCATCACCCAGCAGAACAAGGCAAAAGCCCCAGGTACCGTCCAGGTGCCCTTAAAGTCCATATCCATCGAGGACGGCTTCATGGACACCCGCGTGCAGTTCGGTGCCTACTTCAACTACTCCGTCTCCCCGGGTAACCCCTACGACGTGAAGCCCTTCAACGACACCCAGCAGAAGCAGCTCTTCACCAACATGTTTGGCCAGGGCGGCTGCCAGGACCGTCAAAACGCCTGCAATGCCCAGCCGACCGACAGGCTCTGCGCCGAAGCCGACGCCTTTTGCGTCAAGAACGTGGAAGACTTTTGGGACATCAACGCCGGCCGCGCCGAGAACGACATCCGCCTGCTCCTCCCCGAGCCATACCCCTCGGCCACATTCGTGAGCTACCTCAACAGGGCCGACGTTCAAGCCGCCATCGGGGCGTCCAACAACTTTAGCCAGGCGTCGGTGCAGACGGCCATCGCCTTCGGGTCCACGGGCGACGACAGCCGTACGGGGGCGCTGGTCACGCAGTCTCTCAAGAATCTCGTCCAGCAGGGCATCACCGTCTCCCTCTTCACCGGCGACGCCGACTACGACAGCAACATGATTGGTGCGCAGATCGTCGCGGCGCAGCTGGGCACTGCGAACTGGGCGAGCGCCGGGTTCGTAAACATGTCTGCCAACACGGATGGGCAGATACCGGGGGAGGTGAAGCAGGCCGATAATTTCTCCTTTACGCGCTTGTTCTTTGCTGGTCACCTGTCCGCCTTCAACCAGCCCGAGGCGGCGCTGAGGATTCAAGAGAGGACGATTAAGGGGGTGGATATCGCGTCTGGGACGACGCCGATGGTGTTTGGGAAGAACTTGATCACGCAGGGCCCGTCGGAGAGTACCTTTAAAGAAGGGTCCGCGACGGTGCAGACAAAGGTTGTGCCCAAGGGCGCCGTGTATGATCCGCATACGCATCTGCCCGTGTTGCCTGCACAGGTGGCGGCGGTGGATGGTGGTGCTGAGTTTAGTGTCAAGGCCGACCAAGATCCGGATATGGAGCCTCATCCGCTGGCTGGTATGACGGCGAAAAATATCAGAAAGATGTTGAGAGAAAACGGGCCGCCACAATTAAGGATTTAGTTAGATTATCTATATCGGGATTAAGAATGTTCATACATCATGAGATCATCTTACTGGCCAATACGTTTGAACTGCTTGTATGTTTGAAGTTGAACAAGTGAGCCTGTCAATGTTTCCCCCTATTTGAGCCTCTGGAAAACAAGAAGCTTCTCTCAGGGCGATTGTCCCATTCTCAGAGCTCAGTAGCAGAAGAGATTGAACCGGAGGTCGAAGCAGCTGATACAGAGATGTTCCGTTGTATCTGGCGAGGCAGCCCTGAGGTATGAGTACTGCCTTTCTGGCTATTCACTGTCCGGAACTACAAGGAATCTTTGTATTCTTTCAGTGTTATACTGTGCTGTCCCTATCGAGCACTCACTTTGTACCCCAGCGATCAGTGATGGAGACAGACGGTAGATGGACGGCAGACATAAATCCTCCCTCAATGCTCTGGTACCGATCAGTCCCAACGGCGCCAGCACGCGTACATTGACATACATATCGGGTGCAAATCTCAAGTGAGATGTCGTTGCAAGTGCCTCCACGGTTTCCTTCAAAAGCACCCCTCATCGACAAACGTCATTGAGCATGATACTTAGAACTACTTCGTCGTCAACGCATCTCCACCACTACCTGTGACGTATTCGGAGTGGATCGTGAAGTCGAAAGGGAGATCCGTCCATCCCACCGTCCTGCTAATTCCAAGACCCCTTTCATTCTGGCTTATCCCAAAGTCCTAGGCTTTAACCTTGGTCCTACACGTTCTGTTCCTTTACACAAGGTTCTCTTTGAACTAGATAGGGCTGTCAAACTACGAAAGACATCCAGGTTCCCGAAACCAAGAGGCCCGCCAAGGATGAACGCACTGATAGCTCCCGTCATGTGAACTTCTACAGCAGACAACTTACATACTCATCATTCAGGTGCCATCCTCAAATCCATTCAGCTACCCGGAGCGCCGACAGCCTTCACGTGGCCCATACCTTGAGCATCATACGCCAGCACGGCACCCATTTGCCGTCTGCCGTCTGCCGTCTTCCGGGGTCGCCGAGGCCGTTCTGTAACCTTCATAGCTGACTTGGTGTTATAGAGGTACCCACACCAGCACGCATTCAAGCTTTTGGCGCAATTTGCTTAGATTGTGAGCCTCAGCTACGAGTTTCCTGCCCCCCTGCTGCAAGGGTTTCCAAGGGATGAGAAGCCGACCTCCATCTACCTAAATGACGGTTACTCCTTGCTCCATATGTACGCATCTAGCAAGGCTATATTAGCAGCTATCGAACACGACAGGTATCAATACAAAAAGTCATCAGGAAGAAGGACAACAAGTATGGTAGTCATAATACGTTAAGAATAATATTCGGGCGTCTTATACGCCATGCTGAGCATGCTTCTACCCAAAGCCCCAGTTCCAATGCAAGTAGTCCGCCCATGTAAACTCCATAGCCCATTTTTAGTACTCCTCATTAAAGTGTATAATGCAAACAGCCACTTTATGCACAATTAACCTCTCTTCTCGTCGAGATCAGTGCGATCTTGCCTCGCTCCCAGCATCGGGCTGGGCTGAATCTCGTCACCCGTCTCCTTTTCCCGTGCCGACGAGGACTCGGACACATCGGCGTCGTGCATCACACCACCCTGAGACTTGCCCTTGTGCTGCTCCTTGAAATAGCCGTGCATAGCCTCGGAGAAGAGCTCGGGGTCCTCCCAGACCTCCGGCTCCTTCTCGCCCTGCATCGCCTGTCTCTCTTCCCACTCCTTGCGCATGTCCTCGATCTGAGCCTTGTGGTCCTTCTCGGCGTCGT